CCACAGCCAGCTTAATGACACCTTGCTGACAGCATCACAAATGTCCATGAGAATTTCATTCCATTAAATTCTGTATCATCTTTTTATTTCTTTATTAATAAACAGATAATGCATCGTAAGCGTTATAGAAATTCAATATTCCATCTTGCCCTGATGCCCGTGAAATAGGCGAGATCGCCGTGTCTTTTATCGGCGGGTAGTTGCTAATGAGCCAGTATTATTTTTCCATCAAAAGTAAACAGGGATAAGTTTCTTTCCGTCATGAACAACAGAGGCTTGTTTGTGAGAGCGCGAGAGTGACACTGCTGCCCCCTGCAGGTGTGGGGCGCTGCACGCGGGCGACCACATCCTGTCGGTTGACGGCACCAGCATGGAGTACTGCACACTGGCAGAGGCCAACCAGCTACTGGCCAGCGCCTGCGAGCACGTCAAGATGGAGATCCTGCCTCATCACCAGACGCGGCTGGCCCTCAAGGGCCTGGAGCACGGTGAGCCGGGACTCACCCCCCCCTCCGCGCCGAGGATATAACCCAGCGTGCCTCTGTGGGGGAGGGAAGGGCGGGCTTTGCGGAGGAAGTGCCTCTGTTAATTTCAGGGAATATCATGGCCTGTACATGGAGCTGCTGAGAGCTTCTCCCAAGCAGCCGGCTTTGCCGTTATGGGGTGGGGGGTGGGGGTGCAGCCTCGCTTTCCCAAATGGCCGGAGGTTATGATGATGGTGATGATGATGTTCTTCTGGGTGTTTTTAGCAGTAATGGGCAATCCGGAAGCGTATACACACACACACATACGGGAGTACAGTCACACATGCTCACAGTCCTGCTTCCAAGTCTGCTACATAAATTCCCCTAAACTAGCCCCCTCGCCCAAATCCGCGGACACCCACACCTCCTTGCCCTTCCCAGGCTGTGTCGCAGCCAAACCCAAACTGAGGACGTTGAAAGCAGCACTTTCATTTGCAGCCATCTGCCCCAGTTACTGAGAAGGCAACAGCTGCCCGTAAAATTTTCCACATTAGCCACGTTAGCGTTAGCCACCCTGATCCTAATGACACCCCCACTGTCAAATACACATTATTTTTAGTGACCGTTGAGGTGGTTATTGCCCAGTTAAGCAGAGGTTAAGCAGAGGTTACTGACTATTACCATGGTTACCTGGTTTCATGTAGTTACCTCTCCGTGTTTTTTTTCCTTTCTTTTTGACGCTTCTTTCTTTTGCTTGTCCACTTCTTGTCTCTCTCTTTTTTTTTTGCTTCTCTGTCATCCGTGCATTTTCTCGTTATGTTGTGTGTGACGCGCACTGTTGTCCTTCGTCCCCCCGGCCCCCCCTGGTGGACAGTCAAGGTGCAGCGCAGCAACCGGCCGCTTCCCTGGGAATCCGGCGGCAACAGCAGCAACAGCAGCTTCCTCCCCTACCAACACTATAACACCTACCATCCCGACCATTCCAGGACTCAGGCCTCCAAATCCCAGAAATCCGCTCCACACAACCCTCGTAATGCTCCTCGCTCTCCTCCTTTCGCTCTCCTCCTCCTCCTCCCTCTTCCTCCCCTTTGACCCTTCTTTATTTACTCGGTCTCTTCTCCTCCGTCCAGTAGTCAGTGGGCCTCTGGCTCAGTCATTGTCCCTGAAACGCAGTGATCGTCTCATTTCTATGCAGTATTATGTCCTGCCTCACTGCACTCCAGGCCCTTGAGACGCTTCACTGGAAAACAAGCTTCAGACCTGGCATGTGGGGGAAATCACTGCGCTATACAAAGACCAAACACCGTAACTGTGTATTTTTATCCAAACTCTTATGACCAAATTGGGTCTCTTAGGCTCTGATTTATCTTGTGACAAAATAACTGTATTATTTATAAAATGCCTCAATATATGTAAAATATCTTGTGACCAAATTTCATGACAGAATATGCTCAGTTATGCAGAAAACACTATCTACTACACTTATGTGTGCAGCCTAAAAACACACATAGAGTGACAAAAGAAAGGGTTCCTCAGGGTGCATTTTTGTACCTTAAAAGGTACTTTTACCTGCAGCTAAGGATATAACTGGCAGACCCTTGAGGGTAGAACCTCAGTGACAAAGGAATGAAATGGTACTTTTTTTCTGACAGTGTGCACATGCAGTCTGAAAACTTAAAGGTGCTTTTTCTCAGTTTCAGTGTCAGTTTCAGTGTCAGTGTAGTCACTGTGTTTCGCATTTGTGGGGCAGCATAGATCAGGGAGGTAGCTGATGAGCAGGAAGGCTGAGCGTGCTCCGCCGTGCATCAGTGTAACAGTATCTCTCCCTCTGTGTGTAAGTGACACTGCTTTGGGAAGTAGCATGTGAGCTGAATGTTAAGTACAACATGGCACAGAACTCCCAGGAAGCTTCCAATTAGAAAGAAGGGAATGTTAATCCGTGGGGGGGGGGGTGTAATTGACGCAACGATGATCCACTTTGAACCTTTGACTTGGTCCATGACCTGAAGAAGTCTGCTTGACATTAGATGAGTCATTTTCCATCACCAACCTCTCTTAATTGTTCCTTGAATGGGTCCTCAGAAAGCTGCCTGGGTCTAATGAAGGTACCACCTGACTAGAATGTGACGTGGGAGCGTGTCATTAATCCCGTTAGGGAATTGCACGGAGGATTCTAGGATTTTTTAAGACTGTTCATAATTCATGCGGAGACCTTGATAGCCAATGAAATGTTTTGTATTTATGAGTGACAGGGGAGGGGGCACTCCGGGGGGGCAATCAGCTTTCTGCTGGGGACTGTGACCCTGCCCCCCTGTATATGCCTCTGGGTAACTGACTCCACCTGCTGCGATTACTGAGTTTCATGGACAATGTCTGTAAGCATGGAGGCGTCTCCTCGCAGTGATCTGGTGCCCGCTGATGTCTTTTGGGGGCGTAAGATGATAACCAGCGCACCATCACTCCAGCTGCAGCTAATGCTCCACGTAAAGCACCCGGCCCCGGAATCCCAGCCCAAGGTTCCTCTCCAGTTAATTAAAAATGAAACGAGGCGGGTTACAAATTAGCCGACGTGTCAGACGCTGTAATCGCTCATGATGGATTCAGACAGAGCTCTTGTTGGCTTAATATTTAACAGAGAGATCAAAGCGTGGGCTGTTCATGGTCCGGGCCGGGGGGGGGTCTCAGCGGTGTCTCTCCAGCCAGGTCCTCAGGCGGCAGCGGGTTGCCTCTTTGGGCCGGATTAAATAAATCTCAGCCTGGTTTGCGGGGGGGGGGGGGGGGGCGGCTTGAAATTATCAAAGCACCGCCTCCGATTCAGACAGCATTGTCAGCCGTACTGTCACCGCTGAGGGGGACGATTTGGGGAGTGTGCTTCAGTCAGATCACGCCAAATGGTGCTTTGGGCTTCACAGCCTCTAGATAGGGCTGAATAGGAAGGGGGGGACTGTGGAATGGTGTGAATTTTATTGTAATAAGAGTGCAAGTTCCCCCCTGAAGGTCAGCCCTGGAGCCCCCAGAGCGCTGCCCCAATTCTGACCCCCCCCCCCCTTGCTCTCTCCCTCCCCAGCACTGGGCTCCTCTTTTTCTCCTACCTCCATGAGCGCGTACAGCCTGAGCTCCCTCAACATGGGCACCCTTCCCCGCAACATGTATCCCACCAGCCCCCGCAGCACCATGATGAGGCGCAAGCTCAAGAAGAAGGACTACAAGAGCTCCTGTAAGTCTATTGGCTGCTGCCGCTGCCGTTTCTCCGGCTTATTGGCTGCCGGGGAGCTTGAGCTGTCGTCATGCTCAGAGGACTTTTGATTGGCTGATGGAAGGTCCTTCAGACAGAGGCTTGCTGACCATTGCCGTGAAGCTTTGGTACTGCTACACTTCAGTGACAGCTGAGTTGGGTTCAGTTTTAGATTTTGCTGCTTTTCGGGTCCTTCGCTGGGAGCTGTCACATGTCCAGACGTTTTGCTAAGCTAAAGTTAGCAGAAATAGAATTTGAACAGTTTCACAGCAAGTTAGTTTCCACATGGGGGGTAAGATGGCAGGAAAGTGCCGTAATCGGACCAGCACTTGCAGTTTGCAGTTTTTTGCAGTGTTTCTCCGCCTTGTGCACATGTGGCCCTTCCACTGATGTTCAGCAGTGTTGCATCTCTTAGTACATGTGCCGTTACTATCAGTTAGCATTTGCTGCTCGTCCACAGTGCCATAGCCACTTAGGAAGAATTATACCTCTCATACCCTTGTAGTAGCATTATGGGTGATACAGTATTTGGGATATGCTAAGTCTTTGGCGCCCTCTAGTGACCCTCGGCTTAGACTGTTTGAACTATGTGTTCGCAGACAGCAGTGTAAAAGAGGGGAGTTCTCTGCCTTGGCCTGTGCTCCATTACAAAAACCCAACATGGGGGACAGGACCCCCCGACCCCCGATAAAATAAAGGGGGCGGGGGGGGCGGTCACCCACCACCTCCCAATACCACAAAGGTAAGGAGACAGGACAGGACCCCACAACCCCCCGATATCCTAAATTGGAGGGGATTGTAACCCACCACCCCCCGATACCATAAAGGAGATGGGGACTGGACCCCACAACCCCCCGATACCCTAGATTGTCAGGTCCCAAATTACATGTAGCAGTAATGATGGAGTGGAAGTGCAACTCATTGTGCCTTACTTTTTCCACTCCTGCTGGTTTGGGTCCCTGCTGTGACCCAGGTGCTGGCACTGCACAGGAGCATGGGGTTCTGCCAGAGGAGAACATGGTGATATCACGTGCCAGGGGTTTAAAGGGACAGAGACAGCCTTGGTCCACTGCAGTCCGTGCTCATTTAATCACTGGAATTCAGTGTCAGTTACCAGCATCGGTCATTGTCCCCTATCCATCTTTCAAATGCCTATTCCAATCAGGATCAGCGGGGGGGGGGGGGTCTATCCGAGGCAGCACAGGCAACAAGGCTCAGTCCACCCTGGACAGGATGCCAGCTCATTACAAAGCACAGACCCACAATGAAACACTCCGGAATTTAGACACACCAGTTAATCATGTGTTTGGCATCCGGGAGGAAACACGCAGTGCGGATGCAGGATTTGAACTGCCTCTCGGAGGACTGAGGCGACAGCCACAGAGCATTACAGTAAATTTGAAATTCACTTTCATAAAGACAAAACAAAACTCTTACTTTGCACCCATTAGCGTAACTGTTAACTAGAAGATGGAGGCTAATCTGATCTTCTTGTCCCTTCAGGAAGTGATGTCATGCCAAATAAAAGCAGAGCAGAAGGTGCCCCAGTGAGTCTCCGTCAGGCAGGGGTGACACTGAGCTTCAAGTGCTCTCCTGGCTTCAAAGGTGTCCCATCCCAATTTTTGATAGACGTTTTGCATCTTGGATGACAGTGATGGGGTCTCCCCTCATCTTTTTAGGGCATTACAGCCCCCTCCCCACACCCGATAGACGCTGAGGCACAACTGTTCACGTGACTCGTGGATAAAACCAGGGAGCGAGGCAGTCCTGCATGGGGGTGTCATCATGGCTTCTGGCAAACACCGAGGAAGTTTGCTCTCGGCTGAATGACCTTTACCAGCACAAGGCTTTAAAACAAAAGTAGTAAGAATAGGCCCTCAGTCTGCAATAGCCAGATCGGCTCCTGGGGAAAGGTTTCAGGAGTCCGGGGGGGCAGGAATGGAAGCAAGATGGCTCCTTTTTGCATCAGTGTAGGGGGCCTGTCTAAACATTAGCGGTATAGAGGAGCCGCATCTTGAATCGAGAAGGTGGTGTTATATATTAACCAAATGAGTCTTGCATAAGCACCATTTTGTCCTACGCAAATCCGGGCTTCATGGGTGATGTTTTTAAACCATTCCAGCTTAAATTTAACAGAAAACAGACCCTGCTGATGTGTGTTTATGTTGGGGGATTTCCTGACACGCATTATAAATCCGAACGTGTCCCTGCTGAAGGTGGGGGCCTGAAACAGCCCTACAGCAAAGAGCAAATGCAGGTGCACCAGCCGCGTCACCTCAGGCAGTGTCCCTCACACCTAGGCGTCCTGCGTGTGTCACCTAGGCGTCCTGCGTGTGTCACCCGGCTCGGGACGTGCCGCAGTGAGGGTGAGAAACAGCACAGACCCAGTGGAGTCCAGAGTCAGTGACTCCTATTAGAGCCAACAGTATTACAGCGTCTTCAGAAACATCTTCCAGCTTATTTACTGTGGCAGTAATTTACTTGGTGCCAAGCTCTGAACTTCAGGTTAGTAACAGAGGTGAAAGGACGACTCTGCATTTAAACCAGTGGGTTCTGCTGAGCACTGAGTAGGTTCCCTTCAGTGACGTCTCATTATGCAAAGCCGCCCCCCCGTGACATGACAGCGCTCAGAGTTTTGGGGAACAGTTATATTTCGTGTTTAGTTTTTTAAAAAAAATGTCTTTCCGGTTCTTTATTTTGATAATAAAATTGTCATTACATGTATTGTGAAAATGTTTGTTTCAGATGGATATATCTGGCAGGAGAAATTAATCATTTTGTCCTTATTTATTCCAGTAACTTGACCAGTTAAAAGCTTAGGGATCCCGGTGGCCATACCAGTACTCAGCTTTGCTCTAATGCTGCATCCATTAACAGTGGCTGATCAGACTGAATGAATGTCTGTCTGTCTGTCCGTCCTTTGCTGGGGGCGGGGCCTGTTATCAGGCCTCGCTCTGCGAGTTTTCATTGGCTGTCATGGTTCCGTCACAGGCTGCTGTGGTCTCCTGTTCTGAGTTAATGTGCGTCTGGCCCACAGGCAAAGCCGTCTTCCTGCAGTCCCCACCTAGTGCCATCTAGTGTTCTCTTTGTGCTGTTAGTCAGCTATGAAGCTGAGAGTCTTTCCTCTTCATTGCAGTTTCTGCTACCAAATGTACTCAGTATCCCACTTCTTCCCGTTCCTGTTGTTCTGCGTATTGTGTTTTGTGTCATGTCTTGAGAGCAATTGTTCTTCTTGATAAGAGCTCCCCCTAGCCAAGGCACCGGCTCTCCAGCTTCTCCTCTGTGACTTTGTGTCGCCCCCCGTTACTTGTGCAGCTTGAAAGTAACCCCCCATGTGCCCCTCCTCCCGCAGTGTCCCTGGCCTCCAGCACGCTGGGTTTGGCCGGGCAGGTGGTCCACACAGAGACAACCGAGGTGATGCTGCTCAGCGAGTCCATCATGGGTTTTGGCATCCAGCTGCAGGGTGGCGTCTTCGCCACCGAGACCCTGACCTCGCCTCCGCTCATCGCTTACATCGACCCCGACAGCCCTGCCGAGAGGTTAGATTCCCCCATGTGTCCCTAGGGGGTGTAGTAGTTAGGGGCCTGTGCCTGTTGTCCCTTCAGATTCAGACAGCATCTATGCACCCAGTGACACTGGGCCATCACCACCAGCCATCTGCTGAGCTGACTTTGGCATTTGGTTGGTGGCTTCTGAAGGGTGTTCACCTTGAAACTTGGAACTACCATTTTAGGTTTTTCCAGATTTGAGTCTTTGTACGGTCGTCATGTTCTGCTTGCGGCGCAGGAGCGGAGTCCTGCAGATCGGTGACCGCATCCTGGCCATCAACGGCATCCCCACTGAGGATAGCACCCTGGAGGAAGCCAACCAGCTGCTGCGAGACTCCAGCATCACCAGCAAGGTCACCCTGGAGATAGAGTTCGACGTGGCAGGTACGCACTGCAATGCACTGCAATACACTGCACACCGCTGCGTAAAGGCCCGTACTGTGCGAACATTAAGACGATGAACTTTAATGATGTAAACACAGAGAGGGAGGATGATGGCTGGCATTGTTCAAGTAAGATATTAAAGGCAGCTCTTAACAGCCAAACGGCATCCACTGGCATAAGTACAGTACCTGGAAACAGCTGCTGTCCTTGAGTGGACCAGTGTAACTGTGAGTGACATAAGGGAGCAGAACCCCCAGGATATCACAGGCAGTAGTGGGTCACTGTGGAGAGCCCTCACATCCTTTCCCCTCCGTTAACTGGGTTTCTAAACCCCTACTGCCCTGTCTCAGGTGCCTGTGTTGTTTACACTGACCATTTGACCTCATTCTGACCGATTGAAACCCCCCCACCCCCCCATGCAGAGTCAGTCATCCCCAGCAGCGGAACCTTCCATGTGAAGCTCCCCAAGAAGACTGGAGTGGAGCTTGGAATCACCATCAGCTGTGAGTGTCCAGCTGCCTGAACCACCCCCCCCCCCTCAGTCCTCGAGAGCTCGATACCCCCTCACTGCCTTTATACACCAGTTATCTTGCAGTCGGGTCATTAGCATTGAACCTGTGTCACTGCAGGTCACTGAGGTATCAGAGCAGTAAATGTAACATCATAATAATGATGCTCCTATACGTAGCACTTTTAATTACGGAAAATGTCAAAGCACTTCCTGATGGAAGCAAAGTAGCTGCATGCGCCGGGGCGACTCTGAGAGGTGATTCTTCCGCTCTGCACTCTTTCACACCTCGCCGCTGTCACTCTCCATCTGCTGCCTCAGGCTTCACGACGACGCACCTGCTAACATTTTCATTTACGGCTCGGACAATGAGATTAGGCCCCTCTCTTCTTGCCCTGTCTGGTCGTTTGCTTGCCGTAGTTTGATTACAAAAAGGGGGAGGCAGCATGTTCATCTGAGAGGAATGAGATCACTGTCTCCATACCGTGTCCCAGAACGGCGCTAAATGAATAAATGAATGGACTTTCACACATTTTCAGGGAATAATGGCCCTATTTTTTTAATTGAGATAATTTATTCTGAAAGCCTGTAGGAGGTGATAGTGTTACAGGGCTTAGGGGGGCTTAATCTGTGATTGGAGGGTCAGCTCTTCTTCGCGACACTGGGGAGGGGGGTAGCCAGCCTGAGGACCTGAAGGTGACACCACATTTATAAATGAATGAAAGTTACATTTATATAGCACTTGTTAAAGAACCAATGGGGAGCCACTCGAACCACCACCACTATGTAGCACCGACCTGGATGATGTGACAGCAGCCATTCTGAGCCAGTACACTCACCACCAGCTAAGGTGATGAAGGGGCAGGAGAGAATGCACCCAATTAGGTAAAGGGGATGATTAGGAGGCCAGATTTGAAAGGACCACAGTGGGCAATTTAGCCAGGGCATCGAGGTACCACCTCTACTCTTTCAAAAGATGCCCAGGGATCTATTATGACCTCAGAGAGTCAGGACCTCATCCGAAGGAGGGCACCATATTTATAGCACGTCACTGCACTGGGGCATTGGTTTACTCTAGCTATAAAATAATCTAAAACCTGGCCATATAATACTTAGCTAAGACACTAACAGCACATATTTGGCTAAGATGCTAGCTATACACTAGTTAGAGTATAGTCCAATATAATAGTTACAATAGTTAACTAAGGCTCCTGTTGCTTTGGTGAAATAGGCTGCAGTGATGCTTGGACCCCTTACCCCTCCTCGCTGAAGAGTGTGCACTGGTTTCACTCCATAGGAAGTCATTTCACACAGTAGTCGAACCTCATTACCTATTGTGTCAAGGCTGCTTGCTCATTGGGTCATTCCCGACCAGCCTCCCCATCGATGAGCAGCCCCAGCTTTGCCACATTAATGCAGGGACAGTGAGATGCAGAGCTCATGACGCCACGCCACAGTCGCGCTGTAAAACCAACTGGCTCCCCGTGACGCCCTCTTACCCATTTGGCCTCCTGGTATTCCAGTACAGGGTCTGAGTCTGGTCTCTTGTTGCAGCTCCGTTCTTAGAGGAACAGGAAATGCCCGTCGGGCCCCGGGGCTGGCATCCAGGTTGGCGTCGTCGCTCTGTAACGCCTTGGTTGTGTTTTCTCAGTGTGCATAAGTGTCAGCTGCTGCCGACGAGCTGCTATGGAAACTGTTTCCGACTTGGGGAACGTGCCAGTCGGTCCGCTTCGCTTGTTTTCACGCTTCTCTGGCAGGATCGTGCCGGTTGTCGGCCGTCTGACGAGTATTTACCGAGGCCATATGGCCGTCAAGCCGGCGCTTAAACACGCACGTCAGTCACAGGGGACCGGGCCCCGACCTGGATTCTTCTGGGCACACACATGGCAGCTGGCAACTTCCCCTGACGGGGCTAGGAACAGCCGGGGGGCTGGTTCAGGTTATCGTCAGCCTGGTGTCTGCCAGACGCGCAGCCGTGGTCATGTGACCTGTGGGATGGGAGTGTGATGCGGCTGCTTCAGTGAGGCTCCAGGGCTCTTACCCAAGTAACATCTCCTACCTCTGTGTCTGACTGTCTTTCAGCTCCATCCAGCCGGAAGCCTGGGGATGCTCTCATCATCTCGGACATTAAGAAGGGCAGTGTTGCTCACAGGTAACCTGTCTGCCTGGGACATGCTGGGAGTGTAACTGAGTGTGTGTGTTTGGACCTCCGCATTACTGCAGGCAGCTCATCGGCACAGTTCTGTTCTGCCCCGGTTCATACGACCCGTATCTGGTTATTGGGCAGGTAGAGCTCACCCTGAGAGTCCGATCTGTGAATCTCCCAAGAAATCAGCACTGCACTGTGCCTCTTAGGCATCACTGTACATATAAATTGTATAATTCATGCAAACACTGAGTATTATTACCAAGGTGAAAACTGGGATATAACACACATTGTTTACTGGTATACAAATACAGTGTCGGTGTTACCCAGAATTCCCATTTATCACACCCTGCCACCCCACTCGGGCAGGACGGGCACCCTAGAGCTGGGCGACAAGCTGCTGGCGATTGACAACATCCGACTGGACAACTGCTCCATGGAGGACGCCGTGCAGATCCTGCAGCAGTGCGAGGAACTGGTGAAGCTCAAGATCCGCAAGGACGAGGACAACTCGGGTACGGAGCATGCATATTCACACTGGGGGGTACACACACACAGATACACAGGGAAGAGCACACATACTCACTACAGAACTCCCTGCTGGACTGTGTGTATGTGTGTTCGTGTGTACACTCATCTTCATTCAAAGCCCAGCAATGTGATTAGCATTTGATTGGCCCAATTATCTGCATTTCAGCCACCAAAAATGCAGCAGTCAAGCATGTTGTTTTCTTAATAGACTGAGGAATGGATGCAGACTTTAAATATGCTGCCATATATTATGAGCAGTTTAACCCATGAAGGCAGGAGCCACCGGCAACCTAATGCCCGTGGGCATCCTCACAGGGAGTGGCGAGGCGTGTGAGGGCAGGACGGTCGCCAGTGGTCATGCTTGGCATCTCCAGGGCCCGTGCTGGCCAGACACCCTGAGAAACTAACATTCAACACGGAGAACATGCCTGGCTTTAAGGTCCAAAGCTGTGTCATAGTAACTAAAAGGCAACTAAATGTGTTTGAGAATTAGTAATATTATTGTTGTTGTTGTGTTGTTATAATTTTATTTTATGTGTATGACCAGAGGGCAGTTGGTCAGTACAGTCTAGCTTCTTAGACTTGCACAGATAATCCTTTCGATTTGTTCTGATGATGCAAATTGACCACAGCTGAGCTTATTCACACAGTAAATTTGATTTCAACTGCATGTGGCCCCAAAAGAACAGTTTGTTGCTTGTCTTTTCTTTCCAGCTGAGCAGCTACTCTCTTGGTGCATTATGGGAGCTCGGCCTTCTGGGCATAACACTGGCTTGTCAGAGATGGGTGTGGGGTCCATTTCCACGGTCCCCTCTTCCTGTCTTTGCTGATTGGTTCCTCGATGTCACAAGCAGCTGTTTGCTTCTCAGGAAATGAGTTACAGTCTCTTTAATCGCGCACTTTGTTCAGTTCAGCGACGGAAATCTCTGGATCTAATCCAATACCGGCTGGCGGGCGTTCCCCTGACAGGGGTACAGCAATGAGAGATTTATAATACTGTTAATTCATGCATGTGTGCAGGTCTCTCTGTTCTCTCATCTTCAGACCGGGTTTGTAGGAGAGCACTGCAGCCAACCTACGTTCATGAGCCAAACTGAAAAGACAGAATCTATAGTCCTGCAGGGTGTGTGATACGGTGGCTGTTTCCATAGCAACTCACAAACGTGCCTTTCCCATCCTCTGTTCCACATCAATGAAAGGGTTAAATATCTCCATATCAAACTCCCCCTGGTAGTCGTGATCAAATGGCCTGTGAGAGCGTCTGAAGCGTGATTGGTGTGCCCGACATGGACTGTGGTGATGCACTGGCCCTGGTTGCCACACCAGCACTGTTTATGACCCGTGTCTGCTTCGGCCCGGCCGCAGACGAGCAGGAAAGCTCTGGTGCCATCATCTACACGGTGGAGCTGAAACGGTACGGAGGCCCGCTGGGCATCACCATCTCGGGCACCGAGGAGCCCTTCGACCCCATCATCATCTCCAGCCTGACCAAAGGCGGCTTGGCAGAGAGGTAGGCCCTCCTCCGGCTGCTATCCTCTGTGGGTCCTGCTGGGCTTTGGTCTAGCTCCATCACGCTCCTTTCCACTCTTGTGCCATTTATACACATTGTGGGGCTTATACTAATGTGATTCTTTTTATTTATCTAGAAAAAATATTATGTACATAATAGTATTTCATCAGATCAATTTGTCCAGTGACACTGTAGATGGGTGGTGGTCAGGTAACAGTGGGGTGTTTGACCGAACACCCGGTCCGTGTTTGAGCCCAGGGCAGGCCTCGCTCACTTTTCCGTGCCCCCTCCTTACCCGACCTCATCCGCCCTGCTCCCATCCTTGCCTAGACTCACTACACCCCTCTATATAATGCCACAGTGGTCCCACCCCCTCCTTATCCAGCCTCCCCCACCTCTCCTTGGCCCCTGCCCCCTCATTACCCAGTCTATCCCTGCCCCTGGCCTCGCCTGCCTCTGCCCACTCCCTGCCCCTGGCCTCGCCTGCCTCTGCCCACTCCCTGCCCCTGGCCTCGCCCGCTTCTGCCCACTCCCTGCCCCTCATTACCCCGCCTCACCTGCCACTGGTCCTTGCCCTACCCCTCATTACCCTTCCTTGCCCACCTTTGCTCCCTTCCTGCCCCTCATTACCCCGCCTTGCCCGCCTCTGCCCACTCCCTGCCTCTCATTTCCCTGCTTCACCCACCTTTGCCCACTCTCTGCCCCTCATTACCCCGCCTCACCCCACTCCCTGTCCCTCATTACCCTGCCTTGCCCGCCTCTGCCCACTCCCTGCCTCTCATTACCCCACCTCACCCGCCTCTGGCCACGCCTTGCCTCTCATTTTCCTTCTTTGCCCGCCTTTGCCCATTCCCTGCCCCTCATTACCTCACCTCACTTGCCTCTGCTATGCCCTGCCCCTCATTACCCTGCCTCGGCCGCCTCTGCCCACTCCCTGCCTCTCATTACCCCACCTCTGGCCACGCCTTGCCTCTCATTTCCCTGCTTTGCCCGCCTTTGCCCATTCTCTGCCCCTCATTACCTCACCTCACCTGCCTCTGGCTATGCCCTGCCCCTCATTACCCTGCCTCACCCACCTCTGCCCACTCCCTGCCCCTCACTACCCCACCTCACCTGCCTCTGGCCACACTCTGCCCCTCATTACCCTGCCTCCCCCACTTTTGCCCACTCCCTGCCCTTCATTACCCCGCCTCACCCCACTCCCTGCCCCTCATTACCCCACCTCACCTGCCTCTGGCCATGCCCTGCCCCTCATTGCCCTACCTCACCTGCCTCTGGCCATGCCCTGCCCCTCATTGCCCTGCCTCGCCCGCTTTTGCCCACCCCCTGCCCTTCATTACCCCACCTCACCCCACTCCCTGCCCCTCATTACCCTGCCTCACCTGCCTCTGCCCTCTGCCTGCCTCTCATTTCCCTGCCTCCCTTGCCTCTCCAGGACTGGTGCCATCCACATTGGCGACCGCATTCTGGCCATCAATAGCAACAGCCTGAAGGGGAAGCCGCTGAGTGAGGCCATCCACCTGCTACAGATGGCAGGGGAGTCAGTCATGCTCAAAATCAAGAAGCAGGGCGAGGGTGAGTCATTGAGGGGGTGCTGTTCCCTGATCTGTATCGCACAGCTAGACCCTTAGCCTTAATCGTTAGCATGTGACTGAATTAGGAAGGGTTCTTCAGTAGTTCATGGACTGGCTGGTTGTAGCCAAAGAACCTTCTGGTTATATTTACAGTTATATAAGTTATATATATAAGTTGATTTTCTTTCTAGTCTGTTTAAATTTGCAATGCTCCATATTTCTGTCCAAAGTTCGAATATGACCAGCCCTCAAGTCAGCAAGTCGGGTACAGACTAACAGACCAAACAGGTGAGCCTTTCTCAAACCACTGTCCCCCCCGCGGCAGTGACAAGCCCGAAAAAGTCGCCAGTGTCGGGCCACCTGAGCGAGCTCAGCGACATGGAGGACGAGACGCAGGTGCTGCAGAAGCCTGGCAAGCTGTCGGACATCTACTCCACCACCATCCCCAGCGTGGACAGTGCCGTGGAGTCCTGGGACGGCTCAGCCATCGACACGGCGCTCAGTAGCCAGGGTGAGGCTTCGCTAACACTATAGCACATGCATATCCAGCACGGCGACGGTCACTCGCCACAGCGCTATACTATATTCACTATCGGCGCTTTTCCACTACCATCAAGAACTGAGCCGTACCCGAGTCATAATGCAAACTGCCGGTTTTCCATCATAAATTATCCAAGCTGTAGCTGAGCTGTACCTGCACTGACATGGCCCTCCTTACTAGCAGGCCCGAAAGCATGACTAAACTGAGCTGGTTGCTTCACCACCATTTCATTGGTCAAAATACACGTAGATATTGCTGTTCTGAGCATGGATTATTCATGATTTAGTATCGCATATCGTGATGTATTGATTCATTCCCGATAACTCAGAAGTTGACAATTAACAACCGTCTACTTAAAAAGTACTATAGAACAGCTGAATGGAATGGATTTCTGATGCATATTTACACAAGCGAATGGTAATTCTACTAGTGTTTGATATTATCATAAGCCGGTGATTCTCTCAGACTTGCTAGTGGAAATTACCCCACAGTAAAAAAATTATTATAATAATTGCACATAATCAATCATGATGTACACTGTGTGAACAGTAAATAAGCGTCTCTTCGTTTTGTGTCACTGTTACTCTCCAAACCCGGCAGCACCTTTACGGAACACCAAAGCCAGCTGGAACCGCGCTGTAACTGGTCTCTCTTCGTGGTACAGCTCGGTTCCTATATGCCAGTAGAAAAGCTCCATAAGTTGACAAGTTGAGACACGCCCCAAGTTCACTATGCTCAGGTCTGGATTATGTTCGGATTTTGTGTCTAGCTGTACAGTCCTGGGGACCCCCAGACGGTCCGCATTTTTGCTCCCTCCCCACTCCCAGCATGCCTGAACAAATCAATCAAGAACATCTGGTACAGGTGTGTTGGGAGCTGGGAGGCAGCAAAAGTGTTGCTGGTCCCCCAAGGACTGGGTTTGAAAAACACTGATATAGACCCCGGAGGAATTTTTAGTAAGCGAAAATCAATCCAAACCACCAACACTGAGGCTTGTTTAGTGTTTTGTGCGAAATGTCTATAAATACTCTGTGATTCATTTTGACAGATTTAACATCATTGATATTATTCTCTGTACAGTGACACTTCTAGCAGGGAGATTAGTTGTCTAAACACATTCTGACAAACTGTCGTGAGGAAAAAAATGACAACGGGCTTTGCGATTAATCACCATAATAATTACACAGTGATGTGAGAAACTGGGTTCCTGTGAAAACATTGTAACCTTTTATTAATGAGAACAAAAACGAGCCTCCCGTTCCTTTATAAAGGGTGCAGAATATGCAGGCTAGATAAGAATTTGTTTTTCGCATGGCCTGTCTGATACCCTGTTAATTAAAACACGAAGAAGGAAGCGGCTGAAATCAGCCGTCAGAGGCAGAGCCGCTGAATGTGATATTAATCTGAGGGAAAACCAATCAAACACTGCATCTCTCATTAAAGCTGCGTCTCAGCTAATATCTCCTGGAGTGAAGCGGGGACTCGTGCGTCTGCAGGAGTTATTAACTAGAACTTCAGGAAATCACCTATTGTCTGTGACCCGCATGCATAATGCACATTCTGCTGGCATTCAGGCCCAGTCAACCCGCTGAATCACTCGCCGGCGCATGTAGCTTAACGCGTCTGCTCCCGCCCTCAGCCCCGGCGGCGAGATGACCCGCGGCGCGTCTGAGGATACGTAGCCTAACGCGTCTGCTCCCGCCCTCAGCCCCGGCGGCGAGAGGGCCCGCGGCGCGTCTGAGGATACGTAGCCTAACGCGTCTGCTCCCGCCCTCAGCCCCGGCGGCGAGAGGGCCCGCGGCGCGTCTGAGGATACGTAGCCTAACGCGTCTGCTCCCGCCCTCAGCCCCGGCGGCGAGAGGGCCCGCGTCGCGTCTGAGGATTTGGAGTCCCTGGCTGACATGCTACGTGGGGCTGAATCACTCCCAGTGTCAATAATGGCATCCTCAGTGCTCTCCCTCTGTCAGGGGCTGATGAGTCGCGCCTGGCAGCCACTTTTCTCCTCGCTGGGGCGCCATTAGGGCCCTCTGGAGCGACAGCTTGGGGCTGGCCCCCCCCCCCTCCAACCCAGACAGCAGAGCTGAACTGCACATTGAGAACATCCAGCCCCTTTCAGGTTATAGCTGATATATTATATATAAAAATATAACACGCAGACACAGGTGGGAACGTATTCTCGCCCGGACCGTTATGTTTCCACAGGCACGACCCACAAAATACCTCAGTCCTTGTGTTAGGGACTCTCACTTTTCTATGCACTTTCAGTGCTCATCCCGTATTCCGTTGTCTAAAACGGACTGGTTCAGTCTACACTGCCAGTGTGACCCTCTTGTCGGCTTTAAGACGCAGAAGCGAGCTGAAGGTCTGTCCAGAGCAGCTGCTGGTGGTAACAGCACACTGCCAGGTCTTGTGCTCCCCAGGACGCTCGTCCCGCCTCCCTTACGTGGATCACGTTAAGCCCTGCTGCCGTGCCGCTCCACCCCTCTGACCCCTCCCTCTCTGCTGTGGGACAGGCCCGGCGTACCAGGCCGCTGGATACAGCTTCCACGGCCAGGAGTGGAGGAACGCCAAGGCGCGGGGCAGCCTGTCCCCCCTCGGCTCACGCCAGAGGAACAACATCTTTCAGGACCTGGGGCTGAGTGACGATGAGTGGGACCGGCCCACAGCCAGCGGGTACGTGTGCTAATGCCCCCCCCAGGGGCAGATTAAATTTCCTTACGGCTATTATCTGATATCCACGTTATCCACAGTAGTCAGGGTATTTGGGGTGGGACACCCTCGACACCACAGCTAATAACCGCTAGCAGAGAGGACGCTGCTTCCCGTGGAATACCGTTTGTTAGCGTGATGCCGGAAAGTTCTCTGCCTTCTGCATTCACAGGTTAAATGTAAAAGTTGTCTGAACTCCCAGAGCAGATGTATAGACACACAGCCAAGCTATACTTGGGGGGGGGGGGGGGGGTACACCTTCTCCTTTGTATCCCCTTGCAGTATATAAATGTGCACCACTATTAAAATCTGCAAGTGACATAATCTGCATGATGTGTCACTGATGGTGTCAGATGGATGAGGCCAGTAAATCTTCAGAAATTACTCCAAGCTCACTGTAGGTCTTACAAAGGGGCTCCGTCATACCTTTCAGGGTTATGAAGGCATGTATCTCATGATGTCCTTCTCATTGATACCTGCAGGGCTGCCACGCTCCCCACAGGCTTCATCACCGACAGCAGGTGACTGTCTGCCCTTCTCCAATCCTGCCAGGAACGCCGTCTTAGACCCAACGTGCCTGACATACCCCCTCCCCTCCCCCTCCCAGGTTCACTGTGGGCCATGACGGCACTGAGCCTGATCAGGAGGAGAACTTTTGGTCCCAGGCCCTGGAGGACTTGGAGACGTGTGGCCAGTCCGGGATCCTGCGGGAGCTGGAGGTAAAGTTACCCCCCCCCCATCCCCCACAGCTGATACTCTAAAGCAGTTTCTCAATCCGATCCTCTGAGTCCCACAGACAGTCCACGTTTTTGCCCGGAAGCTGGGAGGGAGCAAAAATGTGGACTGTCTGACATGGGAACTCGGAAGGAGCAAAAACGTGGACCGGCTGTGGGTCCCTGTGGACCGGATTGGGAAACCCTGGTCTAAAGCTAGTGGTAATGACAGCGCCCCCCCTCATCTCTTATTTCTGCGCTGTCCCCTCTTCCTGATTTGCTCTCCCCGATGGAGTGATGTCATATCCTTTGCATAACGTGTGACGCCCCTCTTTTGTTCCAGGACAAGCCAGACAGGCCTCTGAATAAGAAAAACTTGGCCATGCTGGTAGCCCCTCCCTTGTCGTGCCTCCCTCCATTCTTGCTTGCCGTGCCCGCGCCTGGTCCTGTCCCTCTGCTTCTCTGCTCGCTGCCGACCCGCTGACCCGGGGGTCCATTCATACTCTACCTTACTCGCCATGAGGCTTCCTCGCATCCTGTTCCTCCATGCCGTACATACTGTAAAAAGGATCATGTATAAGTGTGAAAGAACCATCGTAAAGTCTTTAGCGAGGAAATTGGCACTGTTGATGATCAATGGAGAGCAATTCACCCATTGCCTTTAATTTGACAGCCCTATGTAAACACGCTTTTGAGCCAAGAAACCAGATAAATGTGCTAATCCCAGGGAGGCACCATATTTAACTGTAGAAGTTTATAAGCTCTTGAATGTACCCTCCGGCTCGCATTTTAACTTAGGTACATTTTTGCTTTTTTGTAAATGTTTGGTACAAAACAGCATTTTGTGTTGGTCGTAAAAGAAACTGACAAAATGTTTGCCTTGATCGACTGCCATCTCTCATATGAAGAACCACGTGGCGTGTACCTAAAAACTAAGTGCATGTGTGGTGATGTATGTTTAGCTTTTTATTTTATTTTATTATTTTTGCTGCAAGAACGGTGTGCATCAGCTTGGTGGAACCGGCCATTTCACCCGTCATTGACGCAAGGACATTGTGGCATTCAGTTTGAGTGAGGGGCTGCTCACTCAATACTGTATGAAGGGAAGAGAGAAATCGATTTGGGCATGGCGGACATAAGCAGGGCATGATGGGATAGCTGCTGCCAGGCCTTGGGATGTTCTGATTGTTCTGTAGACGCTGAGATGCTGTCAGTGTGACTGAGTCATGTTTCTAAATGGTGCTATGAACTTGGTGCACATTTAATGATTTAAAAGCAAAAAAATTACTTTTGCTTGTGCACTTGCATTTACATCAGCAGGTGTATTTATATTTATCGTGCTGAGCTGTGGGGGTTAAATCATGCTGATTAATCTTGTTACTCTTCCTGCACACGAGTCATTCTCACCCTGGCAGATGCTGCGTCACGACTCCTTGCATCTTCCTCTGAGCCTGTTTGGGGGGGCCCATCCGGAGGCCTTTGCCTCTCCGTCCCATGTGTATTTAACAGCTCTGTAACCTGAGTGTGATTGGGGGGCTGATTGAGGTGCAATTAAGCTACACTCTGAGAACAAAGTGATGAAACGCTGTCCTTTTCAAGGTGTTTCCATGGAAACTATGTAAAATGGTGCTGAGAGGTGACTCGTCGGCGTGGCGATCAGCGGGTGCTGTCAGCCACGCGTTCCTCCGGGTGTAGCTGATTGCTTCCCGATTAACAATCGATTCCTCTGCACCTTCGTGGACGTCTCTTAGTAGCAGCTGCAGTGCCCAATGAGTGTGTGCGAGTCAGTGGTGCACGTGAGCGGTGCCAGCCACCCCCACCCAGGCTTCCCGCTCTCCGTGTCCCATCCAGGCCACCATCATGTCGGGCAGCACCCTGAGCCTGAACCACGACCCGGCGTCCTTGCACCGCCAGCTGGGCCGGCAGGCCAGCTTCCAGGAGCGCAGCACCAGCCGACCCCAGTATACGCAGGCCTGCCGCAGCAACACGCTGCCCAGCGACTCGGCCCGCAAGGCCTTTGCCTCGCGCAGGATGAAGCAGGAGATCGAGGACATCATGTCGCCCACGCCGGTGGAGCTGCACAAGGTGTGTGGGGGCTCTGGTCTTCGCAAAGCATTACATTTATTTGTTTGGCAAAGCGACGTACGATCAGCACATTACAAACATACAGCTGTCAAGGAGTCAACTAGGCATAAGTACAGCTAAGGAGTAACTGCCCAGGTACAAGTGTAAGCAGTATTGGGGCAGAAGCTATATAGTACATTTCAAAGACAGCGAGAGCCTAATGGACAGCTACTCAATCGAGAGATGAAGTGCAATGCTATAGACCTTTTTCACGAAAACCGGAAATACATAATCGTAGGGTAAACTTAGTTCCGGTCAAGCGTCAATGCATTAGAAAACCCGGGATCAAGAGAAAATTCAGCAGAGAATATATACAACCTATCTGACAAATTTGCCCAAATTTACATTTGCGGATGTTGCTAAACTCGTGGAGGAAAACTCCGTCACGAGAAAGAGCAAACTTGATAAAGGCTACAAATTTTTCCACGAAGAATTTGTCCATAAGTATCAAGGTAACTGTTTTGCTCACCACATGTAATTTTTAAAGGAAAGACATTAACGGCTTTTGTTAATGTTTAAAGGTAGAAAAACTTTAGATGTATTTGTTAATAGGCAAACAAAAATGTGTTATTTTAAATGAGTATAAATATATATATACCTTAACATTAGACGCAAGATGAACACCCTACACACGCACACAGAAAAGCCCGGACATTTGCACAAACGCACAACCAAGAGTGGGGCTTTACAGTTTGATAATCAAACTAAATCAAAAAACACTTAAAATGTATAAGGATCGCTTTGTTGTAGCAAAATTTTTAAATAGTGTGAGCGTGATGTAAATCATTTAGGCAACAAGAATTGAGTAGCTGTAGGAACTAGTGAGCAAAATTTAGCAACAAGCATCAAAAAACATTTTAGCTGTGTTTTGTTAATTTTAAAGAAGTTGGCCCCGTTTTTTCTAATTACATTTATTAGCTATAGGAACTGGTTCCCGGTATATTAGACTAGTGCCATGTTTCAAATAAACCCCTTAACCATAACGTTTTTAAAGTAACGAAGCACTTTTCGGCAAATGTATTATTTTAAATAAAACACTCTAAGCACATCGACGGAACTCAGAGCCGCTATCAATGGATCTTCGCGTTTGGTGAAATACTTTTTGTATTTTACAATGAAATAAAACTGTTAAGCTGATTACGGCTTTCTCTCGTTTTTAAAAACTTGGGCAAAAATATTTGTGCTTGTTTCGCATTTGCTCTTTTTGACAGTGTTTCGCTCGGGCATGCCTCTAGTTATTTAAAAGTTTGGGCCTTGTGTCATTTGTGCTTAAAATACGGTGTTTGCTTCTGTCTGAGGTGAAGTGTCTGCTGCAGACGTAAGTGCTCCCCTTTTTAACTGTGAAGTTTGGTCCTTCATCCCGCCAGATAGCCTGAATCCATTTACGTCGAACTTCACCATTAACAGGGAAGGAATGAAAAGATAGATGTGACTGCTTTTGGGCATTACAAGAACAGCCCGGTAAACTGCAAGAAGAAGAGGTCGCTGCAGGCGCTATTTTTTTTTTTTACACCGGCGGAAGTAAAGATACCCTACGATTACGAATTTCCGGTCAAAAATGCGGAAGTTGTGAAAAAGGTCTATTCAGGGAATATGCGAGACCAGGCACGTCTGTGGCCTAGTGACCAAACAGGACCGTGTCACTTTTCTGTTTATTTCTGTGCCCCACCTGGCATCTTTAACTACAACTTGAATTCGAACAGAAAATCAAGAATTTAAGAAGGGGGACACAAGCTGTCACTTAAGTTAGACACAAACCCTGTTTCTCTGCTCTCCAAAGGTGACGCTCTACAAAGAGTCGGACACAGAAGATTTCGGTTTCAGTGTGTCGGACGCGCTCCTGGAGAAGGGCGTCTATGTGAACACTGTACGGCCTGGTGGACCGGGAGAGCTGGGCGGGCTGAAGCCCTATGACAGGCTACTTCAGGTACCGGAACCAAGGACTTCAGAAAGCTTCCCGTAGGGTAACGTTTCTGCTAAGCTAACAGCAGATAAAGATGAAGGCCAGAACTCACTCCTATCTTAGTGGAGCAGTGAAGGAATAGGGACTCTGCACTGGGAAAATGTACAAAATGCTTACTCTCACCCCCACCCCCCATTCCAGATTAACCATATCCGCACCAGAGATTTTGACTGCTGTCTGGTGGTTCCTCTGATTTCCGAGTCAAGGAACAACCTGGACCTGGTGATCAGCAGGAATCCACTGGCTTCCCAGTCCTCTGGAAACTCTGCCCAGGTGCCTGCAGAGGCACCAGTGACCTGGAGCGAGCCGGGAAACGGGCTCCAGCAGCAGAGCCCCAGGCTCACAAGAGTGGAGGCCAGAGACCCAACCAAGACCTTATAGCAGTGGAGGATGGAGCCGACGAACTGTTTGGATTGTTCTCCATGGTGCTAAAAAACCACACGACCAATGTTCCTCTGGGAAGTAGGGCCGTTCCATCAAAGCACACTTCCTTCCCTCCAGATATGAGACCGTGTCACAGTGACAAGTCTGCTGAAGCCACTGCTTCACTACTAGTTGCCTGAAGTAGATGTGTGTTTCAGTCCCAAAATGATAGCCTTGGATGACTACTTACTAGTTGGGGTGAAAAATGGGGTGGGGGTGGGGGGGGGGGAGCAAAACTGTGCCATCCTTCATTTCTAGACACAACTGGAGAGTGATGCTTCAAAAATCATGTAAGACCATTAGGGGCAACTTCCGGGGACTGGACAAGTTTGGATGATGCCAAGGCCATTGAAAATCCTTCTCCCCAGCAAGGTGTCCATTCTTGTCTGGCTCAAATGAGCAAAAAACACAGACTGCCCCATGCAGCACATAGTAGTAGTCTGTCGCCAATACTTATTTTTATATTGTAACCACCCCCTATCCCCCTCCCCCCGCAAAAAAAAAAAAATACTGTAAATACTCACATGTCCTCAAGTGGTTTCAGTGTCTGAATCTTTCTCCAAGAAGGACTACATGGGGGAAAACTGGAACATCTGCATTAGTTAGTGTTCTTCAAAAAGAGCCAGACTGGCCCAATGTTTTGGGAAATCAAGAGCAGTTTCATTTCTGGGTTTCAGCAGAATGCATGAGGCCACTTAACACTATTTCCCGTTTGAATAGGTGAACTAATCAGGGATGGAACAATACCTTGGTAAATCTATGCAGGATTTCCAGGTACCGAATGACCCTAATCACATGAGCTCTCCAGACACTGCTGTGTGTCTGTCTTGCAGAGCCTTAGGGCTTTCCTGGATGTGGCTCTCTTCACAAAATTCTGATATAGGAAAATATTAGGCAGTGATGATAAAGCACCTTATCCTAAATTTGAACATAGATCTATTTTTATGAATAGATGCATATTAATGCAGAAAGAACATTTATGCGACAGAGCAATCTGGAGAGCTTGTGTGAGTTGCTGTATCACTACCAAGTGAGACGGTTAGATATGCGTGTGACTGACCCCCCCTTTCCCCAAAACCAGAACTTCCAGACCTTAGCTTTGCATGCGTGCAATAAGGGCATTTCGGGGGCAGATACTGCACCTCTGGTGAGCGTCCACATGCCTCACGGTAGACGTGTAACTCACCTCGTACGGCTCGTTTCCCCTTCCTGTCAGTTGAGTAGATTATCCTTTACCTAAGGACAGCTGGAGACAGCGAACTGCTGCTTGCTGTTCACACCAAAAAAAATGCCAGTGTTAAGAAAGCCCTGGATATCATATGCAAACCTATCCAACCTTCACTGCTATCCAGGGGGCTAAATGCCCGCGAGGAGCTGGAAGCACATATAAAACGCTGAAAGGCATCAGCAGTGACCAGGGATGGCATGTTCTGGTCAATGGGCACCCAAAGTCACACTGGTGTCCCCCCTTGTACAAAGATGGCTGCGTTGCTCCCCTGGAGGCTAGAGAAAGCCTTTTAATCTGTATACATGTTAGTTGTCTGACAATTGTTTGTAATTTGTTGTGACCCCAATTTACTTTCCAGACATGAAATAAAAAAACAAGGGGAAAAAAAATTTAATGAATCCACTCTTCAAGTTAAAAAAAAAAAAAAAAAGAGCATGATTTAAAAAAAACAAGTGAAAATGTGCTTTTTATACCTAAGTGAATATGAATTTATTTGTGTGAAACTGGCAAAAAAGGAATGTTTTGTATGTTTACTTGTTTTCTTGAAGAGCCCCCCCCC